TCCTTCCGAGGTGGGTGAAATGAGGACCCAGACTGTGGGGGCGATATGCTGATTCTGTAAACCGCTTAGAGAGGGCTGAAAGCCCTATGAAGCGGCATATAAGTCTAACTGCTATTGCTATTGCTGCCTTTTGCCAAAAATCAGAAATAAGCGCTAATTTCTGGTTAAAAAAACATCATTATAAATTGCAGCTACCTAGTTCTTTGAATCTGGATTGTACCCTTTTTGGGGTCTGTCGGAACTTCAGTCACTAAGTGAATGGTCGTAAGTTGTAGACTACCTGTATTGTGTATAGGGAATTTAAAGGGGCGTTTAAGAAATATTGAAGGCGTATTTCTTCAAACGATTGATGTCCCCGGCTTCTGTTTCTTTCCTTTGACTCTCCTTGACCTGCAGGAGAGAGCTACCGGACTTCTGATTTAAGGTCAAAAGTGCAGGAGCAGTTCAGGTGTGTGGTCCTCACCAATGACATCATCGTCCCCTTCCTCCTCACAGATCACCATGCGCTCCTCGTCACTGGTCATGTCCTCACTGGTGGTGCGTTGAGAACGAGAGGCACGGGAGGAATGTGGGTGCAGGGAATGACGGGGACCCTCGCCTGGGGTTGCGAAGGGGGACCCTGAGGGGCCCAGCCCCCCATACTGACCCTTCCCGCTGGCATACGGAGACTGTCCCGAGCAAATCTGAAACACCAAGAGAGTCAACTGTTAAAAGACACGGAGAGGCAACTTCTAATGGTCGGTGAAGACAATATCTTCGGGGGGGGGGGGTGTTTGCACTCAGCGCACAGAACACCGATATGCCAAGCCCTATAAAGGGCTGCCAATTCGTTTCCAGGTACAATTCAAGTTCCTGCTCATGGCCTATGAAGGCCTTCATGGCTTGGCACCTGTGAGGCCCTTCCAGACTAGGTGCTCTGACAAGAACTGGCTGAAGGAAGGCACTCCAAGGAAACGGAAAAGTGCAGTTGATCAGAGGACGCTAAGAGGAGTCAGAAGCTCCACCTTATGTTGCCTAGTGTACTGATTTTGGGCTGATGCACTCTGCCATTTCATATTATGGGTAAAAGTAAAGGTTCCCCTCACACATATGTGCTAGTCGTTCCCAACTCTAGGGGGCATTGCTCATCTCCGTTTCAAAGCCAAAGAGCCAGCGCTGTCCGAAGACGTCTCCGTGGCCATGTGGCCGGCATGACTAAACACCGAAGGTGCATGGAACGCTGTTCCCTTCCCACCAAAGGTGGTTCCTATTTTTCTACTTGCATTTTTTACCTGCTTTCGAACTGCTAGGTTGGCAGAAACTGGGACAAGGAACGGGGGCTCACTCTGTCGCGCGGCGCCAGGGATTCGAACCACCGAACAGCTGACCTTTCCGATCGACAATCTCAGAGTCTTAG